AGAGAGAGAGAGAGAGAGAGAGAGAGAGAGAGAGAGAAAGAGAGAAGGAGAGACAGAGGAGTGGGAGAGAAACTAGTCTTTTGGTAACGTGTTGCATTGTCCGCCGCTGCAGAGCTGAGTAAAAAGTACGGATCGGTCTTCACTGTCTGGTTCGGCCTCCGGCAGTCATCGTGAACGGATATGACGTGGTCTACGAAGCCTTCGCTACACGTGAGCACCACTTCATGGAGACACCGCATCTTTACATTCCACGCCAGCTCATCGGATACGATGGTAATCGACCGTCGCTCACGTTGACGTTGTAAAATAGGGACATGGCTGTTGCCGTCACGAATTTCACAATCGCCTGCATATTTACAGTTAATATATGCCTCCAAATAAATTAACACATCAATTAGGTGAATAGGTGAATACCTAATAATAATAATAATAATAACTAGAGCACTCGGAGAGCACAGACCTCCGCCAAGGCAGCTGAATTCTCTCAATGTGAATTTTTTTTATTAATTAATTAAGTGGAAAAAATTATTTAATTAATTAATTAATTAAATAATTAATTGGATCCGGATTAGTGCGAGCGTGCAGGTGGGGGAGGACTGTGGTTGCCTGTGGTTGCGTGTTTGTAAGTCTACAGCCAGCGCACCTAACGGAAGTGAACTGAAACGTGCATGTTAACAAACCCACAAACCCACAAACACACAAACCAACACTCAAACACACGCCGGTGAAAACATAACCCCCGCCAAGCCCCTGGCGGAGGTAATAATAATAATAATAATAATAATAATAATAATAATATACAGACATATTTATGATTATGGGGTAGCTGCCCCTTAGTAATGTGGTCTGCGTCCGGCAGGTCTTATCTTTGGTGCCTACGGAGAGCGATGGAAGAACATACGTAAATTCACCATGACGGTGCTGCGAGACTTCGGGGTCGGCCACGCAACGCTAAAGGAACGCATCATGGCGGAGCTGGAGGCGGTCACGGTATAGAGTTAGATCTTACGAAGGGGGCGCCCTTCAACCCAAGACGCATCATAAAGCAGGCCGCAGCCAACGTCATCTGCTCTATAAACTTCGGCGACAGGTAGAGTAACCGATTGACGTCCATTGACTAGAACAATTTTACATTTAGAAGGTTTTCGATCCATATATATGTAATATATATATATAGGCAATATGGCGCAACGCGAGTACGCCCACGTAAACGCATGGCACGAATGTCATCATATGGATCTTAGATCGATCTCGATCGCTTCGAATGTCTTACATAGCGTGTAATATCTTCCTTCGATTCGGCCCCGGATCTCTCGCTTACTGAAATCCTTCCGCGTTATTCACGATAGATTCGAGTACAGCAATGAGAAGTTTCAGCGCTTGTTGAACGTGACCGATGAGCTGTTCTCCATGAGACTCATAACGGCCGTGGATAACGTCATGCCAATCCTGCGCTTCATACCCAACGGCTTTCTGCCAAAGGCACTCGCCATCTTTACAGAAATACGCAGGTTTACCCAAGAGGTACTATCTATGTCTAGGCCTATCCTAAATATATATTAATTAATTAATTAATTAATATAAACAAATTAATGTATATATATATATAATTATATATATATATATATATATATATAT